GTTGCCGATTAGGCGAGGCTGAGCGCTTTGTCTCCGGATACTGAAGCACTGAAACCAGGAGATGCGAGTTCTGTGCGCGGAGCGCGCTGCGAAGCCCTGCGTAGGGGCAGAGGCACTCCAAGACCCCGGCCCGGCCACCGCGGTCCCCGTGCCTCACTCGCAGGACGCAGGGGGTACCCGCTCCGCTCAGCTCGGGTCCCCTCTCGGCGCGGTCATGCGTAGCGATGCGAGCCCGACTCTCCACGTACTCCCCGCGGAACCGCGCTGTCCCGGTGTGGGCCCTGCGTGGCCGCAGCTCGGAACCCACCAGGCTATGCAACCCAAATTAATTAATTAATCGCGACTTGCGATTGCTTCTGCTCCAGGCGCAGGGCCACTCGGTGCAGCCCCGCACCCAGCGGGGGGAGCGAAGCGAAGCTCCCCCCGTGGCGGTGTTCTCGCGTTGAATTACTCCTGCGCTCTGCAAAGGTCGGTGCATCCTGTTTGTATCCTGTTGGAAAAGGTCGCGCTCTTGCTTCAAGTTATCTGTAAAATATTTCAGGCTCTTCAACTCGTCAGCTGCGGTGGGGGAGCAAGCGCGGAGTGCCGCGGGGTGCGGGGCCAGCACCGCCCTCCCGCACCGGCCCAGCCGCGGAGCCCGGGAGGACCCAGCGGGACCTGGGCTTTCCTGAGCATTGAAGCTCCGGGTTGGCGTCCTGAGCAGCCTGGTGTAGTGCTGAGCTTGATGCTCCGGCAAAATCCTAAGTTACATAATTACATTATTCCGCTTACTCGAATTGTCCTTTCAATTTCAGATAGAGACGGTACAGCCCTTCTCCAAGGGTCGTTTTTCCATGAATTGTTAAAGAGCTGCTGCACTCGCAGCGGATAAAGCAATTTCTCTGTTCGCCTTTTAACTTTGTTTTTTGTAGTGATGTGATGAAATGCTAAATTCTGTAGTGACAATTCTCTGTATGAAGAGAAGTCCTTATTAGGTGATTCTGCTTTGCATTTTTTTTCTTTACTAACGGAAGTTTATTGTAGTAACTAAAAACAAATCTAGCAGACTAATGATTTTTACTGTGTCTGTGCATCACCCAAAATTGATCCTCTCTGCAAGAACAGAAGCACAGAATTAAAATCTGACTGTGCCACTGTGCAGATTGTTTGGAGACAGGGAGTTGCTTTGGGTTTTTTGTTTGTTTGATTTGGTTTTTTTTAATTTATTTTTCTGGAACGCACAATGTAGCTGATGGCAAAATTTGGCTCAGTTATTTTTATTACTTATGATGATATAAGAAATGTATTATTCTCAGATCTCAAGCTGAATTTGCATTCAAGATCACTATCTGTGGGCAATTGTCTCAAACCACAGAAACAGGAGAAACACCTGGTAATACCTTGTGCTCAATACAAGTTGGTAGTAACTGCAAAGATGCAATCTGCTACCGTCAGTCTTAAGGAAAAGTCGAGCTCTGCAGCTGCCCGTCAGAAGGTTGCATAGAGCTGTGACACCTGGGCCAGTGCAGGAGCTTTTCCATCCAGATCTCGGCTGGGAGACGCAGGCTGTGGCATCACCTCCGAGGTTTTGGGGTGTATTCTGCTCTCGTTCACTGCTGCTTGCAGAGTCCTTTCTCACATGGGCATCCCTGTGGCTTTGCCTTGCAGAGTTCTTGTTCTAGGTGCTGCTTTAAACATATTTTACTGTAACCAAGTGACAGGTCTGCAGGAACCTTCACTTCCCATTTCTGAGCCTGCAGAGCGCTGGTTTCCAGGGAGGAAAATGCTGTGTCACCAGGTCAAGCCTGTGGTAAGCTCAAGTTAATTAAACTTGAGTTTGAGAGTTAAGAGAACTTGAAGACAGCTTTTGGCCAACCAGCCGGGTATTGTTCTGCTGCTGAGTCCCCATGATTATTTTTGAATAAATAGTTCACAAAGGCCATGGGACTGCTCATTTTGGTGGAGGTAAACACATACACCAACAGTTCAAGAATGAGACAGTTACAACAGGTGCTTTGCTGAAATAAAAGGCTTAAATTTCCATCATTAGAATTGGTTTTGCCTCCAACAGGTCTTCCTTAAGACTTCCATCGGTTTGCTGTTCTGCTACAAGTTTTTAATTTTAATGTTACCTAAAGCATTTGCTGCTTTTGAGTAGCAGACTGTACATCACAAATAGCTTTAGACCAGCAGGATTTTTACTATGTTTGAGGCTATCTGGATATTGTTTTTAAAAGAGGCTGCAAAAATACAGAGGTCAACAGTGAATAATTACAAAAGGAAGTTGAGTTACATTTTAACTGCTCTTGTACCTGGGTTTGTCAATAGGATTTAGGCGCATTTGATAGATCTTAATTATATACAATTTCTAATTAGAAAATGATAGACGGTGCAAGTGCCTGTTAGTGTGGGAACATAATATGTAATAATACATAAATATGTATAATTGCCTTTGTTATTAGAACGGATAATAGGGCTGCTGAAACAGCCTAGCAATATTTCAGCTTTAACAGCTCTGTTGCTCTTGATGTCTCAGCCTTGGACTGAGAAAAAAAAAAGAATTAGTAAAAATAAGAATTAGTACTATTTATTTGCAAAGTTTGAGATTATTTGAAGCATAATTTTATTTTCCAGATTTTTAAAAATAATTCTTTTGGGTATTAATATCTTTAAAAATGGCATGGTTAATGCTTTTACACTGTTTTAGCAAAACTAAGCTCTGATGATTATAATATAGTGGAAACTTATGAATTGACTTCCCCTGTTCTATTTAGGTGTCATTTATTTGAAGGTAGTTACCAAAGTTCTGAATTGGCTCTGTGCATTTAGTGATTACTTTCCAATTAATGGTAGCAACTTTAATAGAGCAGTCTGTTAGGAACGATGGCCTCGTCCCTCCACACTACCCCTTCCTCCATCCTGCCTGTACCACAGAGAGTGAATCTGCAGCAGCAAAGTTGGTTCTTTTGTTGGGGGATTACAGTGCATTACTGATAAATCTGGTAGGAAGATTCAGTCTTAAAGCTTCCTGTAGAAAATGAGAACAAAGAAAGATGGTATTTCAGCAGCCATCTGTCAGTTGGCGACTCAACGGTATTTTTATAGAGGTGAGATCTCGCACTGCAGCAGCCTTCCAGCAGCATCCTCACCAGGGCTCTGTTATGGTGGATGCATTTTGAAAATGTCTGTAGTTAGAGCTGTTTCTCTCTTCTCAGTTACTGGGATGATCACCTGGAACTATACTTTCTAACGAGCATTGCTTTCCTTAACCTTACTGGTAGCAGGGCAGTAACCTTATCCAAAACTATTTTTGATGCTTTATAGAACAGAAAACCAAAGTATGACATGAAACCTTTGACGAGAGGTTTAACAATATTTAATGCTTTAATTCAAAATAGTACGCATATACTGTTGTGAGCCAAGCTATGGGTACTTGGAACCTGTGGTAAACTTTATTATAAGAAAGCTATTAAAGCACCAATGATGTATATAAAGTAATGCAATGATGCACTACTGAGCATGCAAAATACCTTAAAGCAAAAGATACCGAGTTCATTGTTTTGTTAACTTGACAACAGCTTAAATGTCAGCATGAGGTTATTTCTTTCCTAATTGTTTTTCCAAAAAGCATGAGGAGGCTAATCTATGTTTATTATATTGTGAGAGAGGGCCACAGACAACTTTGCTGACACAGTGGCATTATGCGTTCAGCCTTATTCTCCAACCACATGAAAAAGACAGGAAAATATATTGAATTCTGCTTCCTCTTAATTATGAAGTTCATTATTACTTTTGCTCTCGGGAGCAAATTCTATCAATGAGGTTTAAAAAAGTCCAATAGCATTAAGTATTTATCTAAAAAAATCTTACCTTTTCATGCCATGCTAAGAGAAATATTAAAGGTGTGCATTAAAGAAATATGCTATCCTGAATAACAGTAATGTAACATCAGAGACTCCTTTGTTGGAATCTGATCAGTTCATATCAGAAATATCCAGTAAAACTTTGGAGCTTAGTAGACCACTTATCAACTGTTTCCTGATTTTTGGCTCAGTTGCTGCTGTCTGGCCGGGTCGCTGTTCAGCACTGCCATGGTCACCAAGCGTTCGACTGCGATTCAGTGCTGCCCAAATCAGCTCAGCTTTGGACCTGTGCTGAGCTCTGGGGCTGCCCTCCGTCCGTGTGGTGCTGAGGAGCAGAGGCAGCGCTGGTTACAGGCCAGCAGCTCAGCAGACGCGGGCCATGCTGAGGAGGTGCCCACCACAGAGGTGACTGACACTAAGAACAACACTTTGTTGAGAAAGTCTGTTCTACGTTATCAAACAGTATTTATCAGGAATGCAAACTGACAAGTTTAAATGCACAACTAATCATGGAAACTCGTATCACCATGGAATAACCATGAAATAAAAGCATGAAGATTTTTAGAGACTTTTCCAGGATCCAAAGTACACTGAGAAATTGTAACTTTATCAACACTGTAAATATATAAAGTTGAGCTACTCATCTTATGTAATTATTACAGCCTTAGGAAATTGGGGCATAGTAGTGTACACAGATAATGTACACTGCTTATTCCGAGTGTCCCATTATATTCTTAATTTAATCTTTGTGTATCTCATCCTGCAGCAATAAATGTTAGGGAGTCAACCCACATTCTCCTTCCACTCCAAAAAGCTTCTTTTAACTTCTCAAAAAACCAACCAACCAGCCAAAATCCCATACTTTTCTCATAAGTAAAAAAAAAAGTTACTTTCATAAGGAGTTTAGGCCTTTCTAAAATACATGTGGCTGTAGCTTAATTATAAAAGCAGTTTATGTAATACTGATGCATTTTTATGATTTTAATTTTTTAATGCGTTGTCTTCTCTCTAGAACTAACACACATAAATACTGCATCTATCCCATGATGAGCTACTGGGCTGGCATTAACATTGCAAGTCTCATTTAGTTCTCCAATTCCTAAATTCTCTAACTATTGCACATATGGATTTAAACAAAGAAAAATACAGAATACTTTAGGCTGAGCACCATTTAGTACAATCAAAATAACTAATCATCAAGTAATCTAAGAAATTGCTCAAGCTGAATTTTCAGAAACACAGGTCACGCGGAATGTATAAATGACAAGACCAATTCACATGGTACAAAGTATTCTGCTCACTGAAATGCTCAATTTTATTTACACAGCTTTCTTTCTATCAAATATTACTAAAGAACCGGTGGTACATACACAATGGTACGTGCAATACGATCCCTTTAACTAAGAAAAATAAATTTACAGTTCTGTTAAAGACCAAATGCTATCATATTATATACAGTCTGTTAACTGAAAGGCCTTGTGAGACATTCAGGTCTAATTTTAAGACTTTCCAAATAAATACCAAATAATGCAACATTTACAAATAGCACACCAGCAGTATTTTCACAGTAATCGTTTTACAAATCAGGATTTCGTATTTCAATTAACCAAATGAGTAGCAGCTCCTTCATAAATATTAAGGCGTGTCACATAGCATCAAAATGGAACCGATGAGCCTCCTGTCGCTTCTCTCTGTCATCTGCTTTCTGAAAAGAAATAATAATAATAAAAACCATTTTGTGGGATCCAGAGCAATACTGTTACAGAAATGAGTTGTCAAATGTCACAGAATGGCTGATTTTTTTCCAAGTCACTCATTTGACAAAAGGCAAAAAGCTCAGTAAAAGCGCCAATAATTACCTTTTAAATGATGTCAGTTTGAAATAGCAATAATCTACTGAAAATTGACTTCTGCTGTTAATGCTCAGCTGTTTTAGTATTTATGACCCATTATTTTCTATTATTTCTGACAATGCCTTTATTAGAAGGAATATTTCAAAAATGAAGAATGTTTCCTGCATTTAGTCTGCATTATGAATACGAGATGAAATTACTCTGGATTAACTGTAAAAGTCATCTATGTTACACTTGAAATTAGTTGGTTTTTTTTTTTTAATTTTCTGTTAAATACAAATTTAGGCAACGATGTCAATTCAGTCAACAATTAACAGCACCAAGTAGGCCAAAAACGTTCCATGTTTTTGTCTGTGTTACAGAAGTGTGAGGCAGGGTGCATTTCCCTGCTCATTTATGCAGAACGCACACTGCTCTGCTGCAAGAGTAGTTTGGACGGTGCTTGGGAAGAAAAAGCATATTTGAATTGAACCTATGATCCATGTAAAGTGTAAAAACACGTCCTCTCCCACAGGCCTCCTCCTGTGTTCTAAAGCAGTAACAGAGCGTGAGAGAACTTATTAAAGGGTTTTTGAACACACAGGGTGGGCTTTTCTAGAAAATGGTGATTTTGCCATGACAGTACATGCGGATCCTAGCATAAGAGAATTCATCAAAACACATTTAAATGTGTTTTAGCTTGCTTATACCTAACTTTTTAATTTTTTTGGATGAGTAAAATGAAGAAAAGCCTTTACAGTATGCTGTTGTGTGGGCATTCAAATTTGTATCTCAGTCGATAAATATACATGATAATTTTGGTAGAAATTGGTGCGTGCGTTCTGCCATGAAAGTTTGTCACCTGCTTCGGCTCAAGGCCGAAGATTTCCTCCTGACACAGTGTCTATGCGTGATGGGAACTCCATTGGATTAACTGTGGATTTTACTGCATTTTGTGGCAGCAGTAGAGCTGTCAGTGAAGTTTAAGATGGATCAGTCTGGCTTTTTGGCAGGGACTTTATCAATGTCAGTTGTGTTCTGAATGTCAAAAATGGGGTGGGAAGAAGGGAGTGGCATATTTGTTCCTATATTGAAATGCTTGTCACATTGCACAAAATTTTTAGTCTCACTTAGAAAGCAATTTTCGCTCCATTTATTGTATGCTTCCTGAAAAAATTACTACTTCAGATCTGACAGTAACTGATACTCTGATGAATCCATCACAGCAGTGCCATCATCGATGTGCAGCACTCACACGATGAGCCTCAAGACCACACCGCAAGTGATAAAGCATCAGACTACAAGAATACCAAGGTTCTTGGCCAATATAGCAGACTACATTGTTGTAAGATGAATAATGGTGTAAAACCTTCCTCAATTTCTCTTTCATTTCATGTATCAATGCTAAAAACTAGTAACTGAGCTTTTTTTTTTATTTTTAATTAATGGATCAAAAGTTTCTATGGCACGGCAGAGCAACAGCCTGTCCCTAAATCCTAGTTATGTAAATAATACTACACTTGGTTGACAGACGGTGTGTGAGAGCTATCGTAGACAATGGGCTCCCACTACTACTTATCCACAGAGGTCAAAGTAACCGTTTATTTAAACTGCTGCTTCCAGACAGATACATCCTCTGGGGGAAAAGAGGAGATTTTAACTGCCAGTGCATTTCCCCTTCCTTTCTTTGCTACAGGTACTCTGGAGAAGGGAAAACAGCATGTAGGCAGAACAATATTTTTATGAGAGCATTACTGAAAGAGGCAGTAAACCAAGAAAAATCTTAGAAACAAGGAACTTTGGAGTTTAACTCCCAGTCATGTCAGTGATGCATAACACAGCTGTGGTCAAGATTCTTATTCTTTCTGTACCTCAAACATATGTTTTAAAAATTGGGAAGGTAAAAATCAATAAGACGGCATTGGAAAATTACAGGAATTAACAAATGTTTATATAGTGGTCTGAAAATACACACAATTTATCCAAATATTTGTGCCTATTTTGAGCAAGATGCAGCTGTTGGAAACGAGCTTATAATATAACCAATAACTGCTTCACTCACATACGAGTGCTTCTTTATAGTACAATGTATGAATTACTATATGAAGAATTGTTTTAAATGTTGGCATTAAATCTCCATTTCCCCCTATGGAATGATACAAAGTTAATCCTGCCCCTACTCAAAGTTCAGGTATTTTTTCTGCTACTCTTATTGCTTAAGATGTGTTGGGAGAGAGAGTTAAACCCAGCAGGGCATAGTCCTCACTACCAGTTAGCGAGTGGGGACATGCTAAGGACTGTCATCATAAACTTGGTATTTCTTTGCTGTGTGTGTTTTATTCCCAGCTTTACTACTATTTGGAGACTGTATGTAACATTTGGAAGAGTGAAGATTCACAGACAAATAACATTTAAATATGAAGCATGCGCAAAGCCTATCTGAATGTTTAACAAAGTAATTTTATTTCCACAAGCACAAAATAACAAACAGTTCTACCATGTCAAAATGAGGAGTAATTTTATCTGACAGCTAAGATTATGGTTTGGGTACGTAGTAGCATTTATTGGCAATCCTGCCGGTTGGATATGATTGTGAACTGAGCATAGTTAAGAAAAATGGGAACGCATTTCTTTTGTGACATGAAAGGGCCCTTTCAAAATACGTCTTCAAATCAATGGATTTCTATCACTGCATGTATAATTCAGACACGCAGAGCAGAGCAGCCAATATGCACACGATGGACTTCCTATACAGTCCTGAATGCTAATGTCAGTACAATCAGCAAAGACAGATACAAAAAAGAGACAGTTTCCTTATTTTTGTATTACCAGCAGAACACAAGATAAGTAAACTTGACTTTATGTTCCATACGCCTTAACACTCTGCAAAATGGAAAGCTTATATATGAAACACCAATATCTCATTTAGTTGGGAGCTACAGCTTAATGGCAATAGCTTGTCCATGTTGCTCTTCATTTCCCTTTTGAAGCACCTTAAAGCTTTAATAAAAACAATGCCAATTTTTAAGCTTGCAGTAAATACTGAATTAATAATAAACACCTTTTGGGAATTAATGCAGTCTATATCAGAAATTATACTGTAGAAAACTACTCAAAAACCCAATGTACAAGACTGTAAAATATTAGGAAGTGTTAAATAGTATAGAAAAATCAGAAAAAAATGTAGTTAATTAAACTTACCTTTTCTTGCCAGTGTAATATGCCAATTATTGCCAGGATGAAAACGCAGACACCAATTAAGGCTATCGCTGTTAGCAGCACAATGTTACTTGGGGTCAGATACAGCTTGGCACTCCAGCTATACAAAAGAAGAAAGTCCAAGGAAACATTAATACCTTTCATTAGGAAGCAGAAAGCAGATTTAACTTGTAAGGGTGAAAAGAACCTGCTAGTGTAAGACAGGGAACAACTTGGTCTACACAAACTAGTGGCTATACTTAAAGACAGAAGCTTAATGGTGTTTCCTTGGACACATATGGCTTAATGTAATTATTTTCAAGTAATGCCATGTCTAGACTCAGTTTCCGTTTAACTTTCCAGGAATGCTATGGGTATCCTCAGGGACTGACTTTTTTCTCATTAGGAGATTTATCTCCTGCCCCTGCCCAGGACAAAGTAAAATGCGTAGGAGAACCTTCCCCAAAGCTGCCTGGGGCTCAGGGAGCTGGAGCAGCAGGGAGACGCAAGCCTGTATGAGAGGTGGCTTCCTCCACCTGAGAAGCTCCTCTGGGACAAGCTGGTGGGGTCCAGCTGGTTACACATCTCTCAGTCTGAAGGTTACCCATGGAAAACTGCAGTTGTAGGCAACAGGACCAGTTGGTTATGGCAGGAGAATGCTGGAGAGCAACAAAATTAAGCACTTTAAGGGCTTTTGGAAGACATCCCTCGAATGTCATGGGGTCCTGAGGCTCAGTTACCCACCCGCCTTGTTGCACTACAGGCTTCCTATCATGGGAAAGCTGTTGGCAGGAAGCTCTGTGCTGAGGCAGCACTGAAGCCTCTCAGGAAATAATGCATCTATGTTAAAGAAAAAATAAAATTAAGAAGTGTTTATTGTGAAATCTGATTTCTTCTGTGGATTCTATCCTCTGCTATTCTACAGTGTCCATAAACCTACTTTATAGGAAAGCAAAAGCAGTTTACGGATAAGATGACAGAAGAATTTTTGTGTAACATGTACCTTTAAATAACTCAAGACTATAACTAATTTTTCTTCATCTGGCAGATGTTATTCCTGTGGTTAATAATTAGCAGCTCAACTGGCACATCACTTCTCAACTGTTATTTGTCCTATAGTAAAATTAACTGCTGAAACCGATGTCAAAATCACTTCTGCATGATAAATACAACTGACCTCACTAGTAGATCAAGCGGCAAAAAGCAGCTGAAACATGTGACTAATGTTTTCTCTACTAGCAAAGAGAGAAACATGCTCTCTTTCTGGGCTAAACATTTTAATTGCAAAGTGAATTCAGTGTTCAAGCTATTGTGCAACCAACCCATGCACCTTTACTTAAAGAAAAGCATTCATACCTGTGGCTACAGATACTGCGTTCAGAAGGGCTGAACCACAGCTTTTATATGCAAGTAGAAATTGCATGTTTGGTAGAACAAAAATGCTTGCTTCAATCATTACTATGCTTGCAATTTGTCAAAAAAAATATTGGTAAATCTAGCAAATACGTTATTATTTACAGGAGTTGAGCTGGCAGCGCATCTGGATTGTTTGTAGGAGTGGGTCATTGACTTGGATTGTTTCTGGGCACTAAGAATCTGTGTAAATACTTGAGTAAGTATCCTGCCTTGTCAGAGGCAACTATGTCTATAGAACTGACCCTCCCTCTTGTTCTTAAATTTACTCTCTATACAAGTGACTATTTTTAAACCTACACATAATGCCTCATTTAAACTCGGTATTAATCTAATTTTGCGAAGTGCAAATCAAAACGATGAAGATACCTTCGAGGAACATTATGAGGATAGGGGATGACTATGAGCTGGGAGTTCGGTATGATAGCTGTCCACTCTTGTCTTCTTACGGACTGAAAGAAAAACAAAGGTTATGTTAATTCCTAACAAACCAACATACTTGAAAGCAAAGAAATCATCTGCTAAAACATACAACAGGAGAAACAACAGTTGCTTTTTAATAATTTCAAATAAGTTATTATTCCCTTACATTTGTATAAACCTTCTATTCCGAATGCTTAGTGCTTACAAAAAAGTGCTTAAAAAAACCCTCTAAAGTAAAAAGCAGAATAACTACTGCTGACAAGAAACACAGCATCCATTTAAAAAGTACAAAGCAACAACATAATAGAAAAAGAAGAAAAAAACCCAGTTCTACAAAGGAGGCAAGGCAAAGCAATTAACCAAATCAGAATTTGGCCAGTTAATTCGAATATCTCACTTTTTAAAGAAGTACCATCAGAACTTCAAAGACTGTAAATGGTCAAGATTCTACTTTTATGTTTCCTCAGAAAACAAGATAATCATGGTAATCTCCAGCTCCCATCACACCAATCATGGTTTTATTACTGAGGCAGAAAGGATTATGTGCGTTTACAGGCAGCCAGACAAATCCTAGCGAAGTCTGAGAGCACAGTAACTGGGCCACCAGATCTGATACACATTTACCATAAAAACAAGCACTGTGTACCTGTGCTAACATTTATAGACAACGTCAGTCATCTTTTGGTCTTAGTGTTACCTTCAGAGCTTATACACCCCCTCCAAAAACAGGTGTACAAGGTTCTTTTTGTCGAACTTTCCTATATTCAAACTTACTACTTTGATATTCTTGCTCCTGGGGAAAAAAAAGTGACCCCGGCAGTATTTCCATCCCAAGTCTATTAGGAAAGATAATACCATCAATATTAGCTTCACAATCTTAAATCTCAACTAACCTTTTCTCCTAAAGGACGAGGAATGCCAACATACAAATGATCGAGGAAATTAGCACTACGTCCCAGGCCTAGCACATTGTACGGCAACTGGAGAGCAAAATGTGCTGACTGGCTAAGCTGCCCAGCTGAAATGAAATCAGAAAAGAAACCCAGGTAAGTATTTTAGAAAAAAAATCCCAAACAAACAAAAAACCCCAAACCCCCAACTTTGTACACCAATAAACATTTCAGAGTCAGTAATAAAAATATTTTTAAAAATTTAACCAATTGCATGATTATTTAAGTCTTAAAGGCTCAAATCTGTATTTCCAAACTGCTTACGGAAACTCACTTGAAGAACAGCTTAAATGCTTTGGATTTCTAGATAAGATGATTCTCTTGAACACCATTTCTATGTTAAACATTTCTATGTTAAGACAAGTTGAGAAGAAATCGGCTATCTCCCTTTATTTTAATATTAGTAGTGCCAAGTCTTTTTCCCCATTGCTTTACAAGCTCAAATGTAACACGTGAAAGTTCACTTTAATTCTTACTCGTGTTAAGCAGCAACTACTGTTTTTTCTTCTTCATAAAACTAAGTAAATTCTCATTAACAAATCCTTGAATAATAAATTGTCTTAATGAAAACAGGGTTACAGTGGTTGCAAGTTAGGTCCTAGCGAGAGCATTTAGTTATAAATAAAGCAGAGGCTATAGGGGAAATATAACACACAACGTTTCCTGAAAAGGCAGTAGGGAAACAGAGAAGTCTTGCAGCTATCAACAGGTTCACTAGCATTTCCAAAGTATCAGATTTTTCTGTTTAAATAAAAAACCTGTAATCTTTTAATTTCTGGTAAACTGATTCTGATCCTATGTAGATTCTTTGTTCATTCTCTAGAGAGCCTCTTGGTAAATGATCTGATTACACAGCA